CGGAGAAGTCACGTGACACGCAAGGCATGATGGGATGATAGATTCTATGGTCACAATCGCACCTCCTGCGGTCCAGAGATTATCTTTGGCATGTATCATTTACCCACCCTTATTTGTTTCCATCCTGGATACACTTTTCTGTCTGATGCGTTTGTCTTCTCGTTGAGCGTTGGTTCTCACCGTGTGCTATTTGGACCGACGATGCTCTGCAGGGCCATGTGGAGAGAGTGCAGACCACAGAACTCTTGCAGATACTCTTATTTTTCTCACACGAAGCACTGTATTTGTTTTTTTTACTGTTTAGTGCTCCGCAAACAATCGTTTGATGGTTGACAGTGGTCAGCGGGTCCAGAAACCTTGGGGGACCACTTGTGTCGGGAAAGTGTGAGACTCAGGTTTATTGCAGGAGACGCCGTCAGAGTGTTGTATTCAGTGTGGGCCCTGCCGTGGTGGGGTGTGTGTGTATGTTGAACTTCTTTCGCACCGTACGTAGCCAAAACGTGGTTATCGGAGGGGTGCGGGGATGAGTGCTGGTGGTTTACGTCGCCAAAGTGCGTTCCGGTTGGTTGCGAGTCTCGCGTTCTGTATTCCGTCGTGGAAAAGCGCATCAGCAATGCGAACAAACGGCTCCCATGTCAACTCGGTCGCCACGTTCTGAAGTTGTAAAATTCGAGATGAGATCCCCCACGCGTTTCATAATTGATGAGGCGGTCGTTTTCAAAAGCATCGCAGCATTGTGACTCAAGCCACGGCTCCATATTTCCCCTTGGCTTGCAATTTACAGGAATCTTCGCAAGATGCCACGCATTCATCCATTCGCTCGTCTGTGGCTACGGTCAAATTAGCCATTACATTTAAATGCCATGACGTGTGTCATTTGCAACCGCCCTAATCTGGGAGTCATTCAGAGTGATGATGATGACTCTCGAAGGGATGATTACCATGCAGTGATGTTTGTATTCGCGTTGTCTGTTAATATGCTGCCAATTAACAAAAACACCCTCCCCACCCCCCTTGATAGTTTGCATCGGGTAGGGTTCGTCCACACTGAAAGGGGTTTTTAAAGCTGCCGGAAGTTGCATGGGGGTTGGGTTTGGCTTGCATCTGCTCATGAAGGTAAACAGCTGAAAACATAAACTGAAAACCAAACACGTGGAGCGCCACGACATATTTCCCCCAGCTGCAACTGTTCAATCCGTTCCACGTTTGTTTGCATAGAGCAATAAACATTACAAAATCTGAAATGGCCAATCTCCCGTTATCCTTATCGGCCGTGATAGATCCACTGCTGGTTGAAGGCCTCCTCAACCACCACCTCCTCTCGCGATCCTGTCCACGCACCAATCCAATTGGTACCTGCAAGTGAACTTATTTAATCGCTCCTTCTCCTCAACGGACGTGCTCGCGAACGCCTGCCATTCTGTTGGCTGCTGCTCTGCTGTTGTTCCTGCCGTGGTGTGGGACTGTTTTCAGGTCATTTTTGCTGCTTTTCCCAAGCTTGATAAATCGAACGTATATAATCTAATTATCTTTTATTTCGTGACTTGCTCACCTTTTTTGCACTTTTATCGTTTGTTGTATTGTATGCTGTTGTAATGTGCTGACTCGCACATAATGGACATCTGTGAAGAAAAAGAGCTTCATAGCTCATCGGATTCCTCCGGTCATCATGAAGATCCCGATTGTGACGTTGGCTATCATCCCTTCGCAGTGACGTGTTTTGGCCGAGTTAAAACAAAAACACTGCAACACTGAAGTGGACATTCGTTTTGTATTTACATAATCTTTGCTCCCAAAAAATTCTTCGTCTGCCCCGATACACACAAGCGAGCGAGTGCAACAATTGACCGATCAACCGGGGTGGGGGGGGGTATGGTTCAGTGGCCCCTGATGAATTTCCTGGGCAGTGACGCACATGCGGGCCTCGAGCATGTCCCTGCCATTCCGAGAGGGGCCTCAAATGGGGAGGTTGTGGGAGGGGGGCACTGGGTTTATCTCGTGGTACTGGGATACAGGGTGGGAGAGTGCATGGGTGGTGACAGAGGGGTGTGTGGTGCGGTGGTGGTGGTTGTGGGGAGCGGTATGGTAGCCGTGAGCTCGCCGCGTTACGAACCTGGCGATTATCTGGACCGGTCCTGGACGTCCGCGAGGTCGACTCAGCCTCAAATGAGTACCTGGTGCGGAGTGTAAACATCGTAACTGGGGAGACAAAGGCGGTCGGCGTGTTGCTGGCCATCCTACCATGCCGCCCTTCATAGGTGCTCGCTCATAGCACTTGCCCCAACAGTGTGTCAAGGCTATGAGTGGGATATTTGTCTTTGTAAGAGAGTTAATGTGCACGGTTAGGATGTGGTGGTTGTGTGACTAATTCGTGTGATCGTGTTGTGTTTGAGTGATCGTGGTGAGTGTGGTGTGTGTGTATTGGAGGTGATGGGAGAGTGTGTGTGACTATATATGTGACTCTAGGTATGTGTGGCTGGAAGTGTACGCGACTGTGTATATATTTGTGTAAAAGACTTTGTCAATGCACTGCGCATGTAACTTTGTGAATGAATGTGCGTGCATTAGCATGTGAAAATGCATATGCATACTATTTGCATATGAATTATATGAACACGTGTGCAGGCAATGACTGAGCCAGGATTTTTAGGTACGGGGGCCAACCCCTCCAGCAATGAAAAATGATAGAGGAGTTGTTAGTAAGCAAGGACTTGTCCCTTGCTTTTTATTCGACCCGTGTGCGGCGATGGCGCAGCCGTCGATCGAAGGTCGAATTCGAACCGCGTCGTGTGATCGGCATCGCGCTCGCTGAAGGTGAATGCCTTCAGGGAAGTCGTGCACTGTCTACGCAACTACGCACAATTCTGTGAGAGTCACTTATAACTGCTTTGCCGGTACTTATTGCCAATTATGGACTCAGACTATTGTCCTATCATCTCATAGAGTCCCTGGCACATAATAATATGCTACACAGTGGCAGTGGTGGTCGCAAAATGCCGATTTATTACTAATAAACCCCAAAGATCCGATCGAAATTAGGGATTTCGATCGGATCATTGGAGGGGGGGCACATTCCACCCCCATTGGGGTGGGGGGGGGGCACATTCCAGGAGTGTATGTGAGTGTGTGGATGTAACTATGCCAACTCACTGTTTAGATGTGCGAATGTTTGTGTATTTGTCTCCCCAGCGGGGAGACAAAGGCGGTCGGGCGTGGTGCTGGCCGCCCACCCCTCGTGTACCATAGGTGCTCGCTAACAATCCTTGCTCCAAATGTTGTTAAGGCTACACGGGGGTGTCTTTGTGATTGTATGTATAATTGTGAATGTGTTTTGCATGTGTGTGAATGCGTAACACATGTAAACGTCTGTGTGTGTGAGTGAAGGTACTGTATTCTCTATTCAAATGTAAAGTTGCTTCTCGTGGTGGTGGTGTTGGTGGTGGTGGTGTTGGTGGTGGTGTTGGTGGTGGTATTGGGGGTGGCTCTCATAACTCAGGGTCACAGAGTTCGCTGTGCTGCAAGGCTGGGTATTGGGTGTGTGTGGGTAGGGTCATGCAGCAGTTCTGGTTGCTTCTGTCCTCTATCAACACCGGCACCATCACAACCACTCCACCACTAAGCACCACCAACAACACACGTCCATCATCGCACCCACAAATTTCCTGCCATGAACTCTGCAAGCCCCCCCCCCCACCCTCCATCAGCACCACCACCTACTCACACCCCCCCCACCACCACACTAAACAATACAACTTTTTTATTTTACCAGGTAAGGTCCATTGAGCTCTGGAGCACTTTTTCAGAAGCGACCTGGCCACAAATTATCGATCACGTGGACGTTTATATCAGCCAGATAATCTGAATGTACGTTTATTTTAAATGTGGAGGGAAAACCCGGAGGACCCTGATACACAACAATGCACGCGACCACGGGGAGAGAAATACGCAAACTTCAAATATACAGCAGTCGTCAGGGTCGGGATCGTACCCATGACATCCTGCATACCAGGCGAGGGAGTTAACATCTCGCCATCGTGGCGTCCCACAGATCCTCCACCACCATAAACCACTCCACTATCCCATCACCACCTCCATAAACACCTCACTTCCTGACCATCACCTCCAATCACCATCAACTCAACCACCCCATCGCCTTACCATCAACTCCGCAATCACCATAAACCCTTCCACCACCGCACCATCGCCACCCTACCATCACCTCCACACATTCCTAACCACCACCTCCCCTAAAGACAAAGACAACAAAATCCCCGTATAGCCTTAACAGACTGTAGGGGCAAGTGCTGTTAGCGAGCACCTATGAAGGCCGGCACGGCACACGAGGGGATGAGTGGTCAGTACCATGCCAGACCGCCTTTGTCTCCCCAGTGGCGATGATTTTACACACCGCACCAGATACTCATTTCGAGGCTGAGTCGACCTAGGGGAGGCCCATGACCGGTTCAGGATAATCGTCACCGGTGGTGTTGGCCGGTGAGCGGGAACCAAACTCGGATTTTGCTGGGTTCGTAGCGCAGCGCGCTAACTATCTATAACACCCCAACATACACACACACACAACCACCTTATAAACACACACACAACCACCACCTTATAGACACACGCAGCGCGCTCACCATCTATAACACCCCAACATACACACACCACCACCACCTTAAAGACACACACAGAGCGCTCACCATCTATAACAACCCAACACACACACAACCACCACCTTATAGACACACACGCACGCACGCATTTCCTCTTGCCCCCCACCCACCCCACCCCCCACCCTACCCACCCCCCACCCTACCCACCCCACCCACCACCCCCCCCCCCGGCGCGCAGCGAACCGCCCACGCACGCGCTCGGCCCTCGCCCATTGGCCGCGCGCGCGTCGCGAGGCGCGCTGCGATTGGCTCGCGCGCCCTGTCCGCGTGCTCGGCCGCTGATCCGCGGAGCTCATAAAGAGGAGCGGCGGGGAGGAGGTCCGCGAGCTTGCGAGGTGGTCGTGGTCGGGGGGCAGTAGAAGCTGAGCCTGTGGCGAGGGGAGGCTACGCAAGTCGCGACGCAACCCCCTCTGCCCGAGCGAGATTTCAAAAAAGGTCCGTCTCACAGTCCTTCCTTCCCCTCCTCAAAGAGGCTTTTTTTTTAAGCTCGTATCGCCCTGTGAGTAAAAACCCACCACGCCGTCTCACCTCTCGGCCGGGTTTCTTTAGTCCGGTTTGTGTTGCGCAGCAGCAGCACACGTGTGTGTGTGTGTGCCGCGGTGTTTCTCCCACCCCACCCCCAACTCCAAGCACATCTAACCCCAGCGTGTGTGCGCTATAAGAGAAACAAAAGCTTTGAGTGGCAAACAAAGACGACAACTCCGTAGCGGCAGCAGCAGCAGCGCACTTGGAGGAACCCGCGCTCGGTACTTTGTTAATGTGCGGACGGCGATGGAGCGGCGATTTTAGATACCGGCGACTTGAGAAAGTGGTGGGGGTAAGGGAGAGGAGGCGGATATACACGACGTCTTGAGACGCCGACGCTTTAAAACACCACCACCACCACCCAGTTTGCTTCGTGAGCGCCGCCGTGGGGTCGAAGGGTGAGCGAGTCGAGTCCACCAAAGGGTGACGAGAGAGGGAGTCCCCTGCGATAGAAGCTCGCCGACTCCGGCGAGAGATCTCCGGGAGGAAGGAGGAGGAGGAGGAGAGGACCTGGGGAAGGAGTCGTTCCTCTGCTGCGGCTACCGACAGAGCATGCACTGCTCCAGGTAATGCGAACTTTGCGTTGTGCTAGAATTGTGGTGCTGATGATGATGCTGATGCTCTTTTCCCGACGCTGCTTTGTGTTTCCGTTGTTGCTGTATTCGTACACCAACCCGCTCTCGCCTAACCCACTGCACTGACCAGCGTGGTGAAGTATGGTCAAATAGACCTCTCGCAACACGCGCATGATGCTGGGAGGGATAGGGGCACTTCATCCAGCAGTGGATTGATTTTGTGTTGTGTGGAGCTGGGCATGTTTTAAAACAGGGTTTGTGCAGGGTAACGTCGTCGAAACTCTTTGTTATACTGGATTACATATGCTCCAACGCCTATACGCCCCCTTGACCTGCGTGGTGAAGTATGGTCAAATAACCTCCCACAACCTGCAGGATGCGGGGGGGGGGGGGCAGGTCCTCATTTCGTCCAGCAGTGGATTGATTTTTGTTTGTTTAAAAGTTGACCATAATTCGTGATTCAGGAAACCCCTTGGTCTGCCCGGCGGTTAATGTAAGCATTTGTGTTACTTAACCAATTCTAAAATGAGAATTAACAAAAGGTGTGTGAAACTTTTAAAGTTGTGCGTTTACATGAACTCTGAACACATTGTACGCATGAACCGTTGATAAGCGTTTTGTCATTATCGACAGTATACTCGCAAATATACATTACATACAAGTTACTCACTGGCTTTATCTAAATACCACAATTGCAACAGCGCCATATCTGTGCAATAATAATAATAACGAGTTATATGGAATTGCATACTGCGCCAGTCTGTTGAAACTTGGTTAAAGTCCATTAAGGTCACATCGCACGGGGTTGGGTGGTGTGGGATTTTCGAATTAACCGCCCCACCAATTACCATCCACTTCCTTAGACACCAACGCATTCTCGCGCCTAACATACAATGTGGTGCTATTCGTGTAAAATTGGTTTCATTAACACCAGTCTGCACCCCAGAGGCAAATGGGTCTGACACACGGTAGATATTCGTGTAGTCATTTAAATTGTAAAGAAGCTATAATCCAAAGTATAAGTTGACACAACAAGCTTCAGTCGTGCATCAATAACTTTTAGTCGGAAGGCAGCAGATGTCCTTGTTGGCAGTGCTGTGTATCTGCTGCCAGTGATATTTAACTCGTTCCAGGCGAGGTTAGATTTGAGTGTAGACACTTCACTTTAAAGAGTCCAAGATCACTCGAATGTTGTGGCTTTTATTGACACAAATACTACCACTCGAGTAATAAGTCATTTAAGACACTGTCAATCCACTGCAGGATAAAGGTCTCCCCCCCCCCCCCATTCCGTGGCAGTCGTGTCGGTTTCACGACACTGTAGTTTAACCTCTGGTCAGTGGTGGGTTGGGGTAGGGGGCATGTTTGGTTCAGGTATCACTCGTCACTCTTGTTATCCATGGCTGGGAATCGAACTTGAGTCACCACTCGACTCTATTTAGAAATAACAGGCTATATATACGGACGTACAGTACGTGTTTTTGCAGAGTTGTACTTGACACAGTTTCATTTGAAAACCTGAAAAACTGGAAATTCAGAATCGCTTTACCCTGCTGCAGTGGACTAAGACAATTCTCAAATATAGCAAGCGGTAAAGATCATTCTCCACGCTGGCATGGACGGCAAAGAATGCAAAACCAGTTTAAAAAATCACACGCGCAAATCTTATTTTAATGAGAAATACCTCACGGCGTCTTGCGTTAAACGAAGAGTGGGATCACAAACCCAAGTGAACCAGCTGCGAAAAAGTGAGCCATTGCTGGGGGAATTGCGCAAAATCACTTGCCGTGACTTGCAAGCGTTGGCACGTTTCATTAATGCCCTGCTCTGTGTAATGGCATCAATTTAAATGCTATAAGGGCTCCTTTTTTGCAACGGTCCAGTGATCGTTATGGGAGAGATATTGCCGTGAAAGTAGGTGTTATTTGATCATTCAGGGGTGGGTATTTTGTTTAGTTATCCAGTTGAGCGAGAGGCTTGGGGGGAGTCCATTTGGCACAAAACATTGGAAGCTGGGTGACATAAGCCAAAAGCAATACTGGTATGAAGCTAGTGGGTTTTGTGGCTTGGGAGGGCAGGGAAAGATTGTACAACCCATTTTTTGTAACAATGGTGTTCTACCTAAAGCTACCTTCTGAAAGCCATAATTGTATTGTTGACGTTTGGGTTTCGTCAGGATTTTGAGTTTGTGCATCCATTGTAAATGCATTACATTTTTTATGGTAAGCATGATAGCGTTAAAGGTATTATCGTCTTATAAATCTGCTTCTTCGACGAACATGACTACGTGCCTCAGAAGAGTGGTGGTGCGTCACGGTGGGCAAAGTTTTTTGTTTTTTTTATTATTACTACTGTAGTTTTGGGGTGGGAGCAAGGTTGGGAAACATTGACCCCCATTCGCTGCCCTCAGCAGTTTTAATCCGCTGACAAAGGTGTAACATTTCTCTTCCTTCTCCCCCGCCCATGTCTTTTCTTGCAGTGCCAGAGTGCTGCAAGTCCTGCCTCCATCCCACCTGCACACCTCGTCGCCCTTCATCATGCCCATGTGCGATGTCGCCATGACCCTGTACTTTGCCCCGTCGCCTCCTCTGCGCGGATTTCTGCCGGCGTCCTTCCAGGCAGAATCCAACGGCTTCCAGTCGCGGGCCGCGTTTCGCTGGAAAAATGCGCGCAAGCCCCTGCGCTCCTGCATCAGCAGCGCCTCCTCCATCGCCACCGCCGCCACTGCTGCCGCGGACGCGAGCATGAAGAAGAAGCGCGTGGTGTTTGCCGACGCCCGTGGGCTGGCGCTGGCCAGCGTGCGTCTTTTCTCGGAACTGGAGGACCCTTGTCCTGAGCTGCTCCAGTTCGAGCTGAGTGAACTGCACCTCGAGGAGGTGGTGTCCAAACTGGCGCCAGAAATCAAAAGGAACGGCATGGGCGGTGCAAGCGGGAGGCTGGTGCTGGACTTTGCACAGCCATCGGCCGACTACCTGGACTTCCGCAGGCGCCTCAACGGCAACATGGTGAGCCTGGAGAACTGCCTGCTGAACGAGCGCGTCCTCTCGGGCACCATCAAGGTGAAGAACCTGGGCTTCGAGAAGACGGTCGTCCTGCGCATCACCTTCGACACATGGAAGAGCAGCACGAACGTGGAGTGCTGCTTCCTGCACGACGCGTACGGAGGCTCGGACACGGACACGTTCTCGTTCCAGGTGGAGACGCCGTGCCACGTGTCACCCCACGAGCGCGTCGAGTTCTGCATCAGATACACGTGTTCGGGGACCGAACACTGGGACAACAACGGCGGCAGCAACTACCGGCTGGCGCACGTCTCCTCCGCCTCGTCGTGGAAGGCGGCGGGGGGGTTTGACAAGGGCCAGGATCATCGGCAGGAGGAGGCGGAGCGAGCAAACGCCACCGTGGGGAGGCTGAGCCGATACGAGAAACGCCCGGAGGTGGAGTGCGACCTATACGGGAGCCCTCGCATCGCGCAGGGATTGTTCCCCGAGTGGCAGAGCTGGAACGGGTTCAAGAATCAAAACCCATATTATTAGTGGAATGTTTTAATTAAAAGTTGTCGGCATGTGCTGATTGAGCATCGAGGGCGGAGGAGGCTTTTCAAACGTGCGTCACGACTCCGGGGCACCGTGCCACTAGCGTGAATGAACCCTAATCGTTGGGTGTGTATGCGCAGGCTGCCTGTGCGCTTTGTAATTCCCCAGCTGCACGGTGTGTCCCAGGCCTGCTTTGAGCACCCACGCAAAGCGTGCGTTTTTGACGTGCCACTTAAAGCAGCTGCAGACATTGTGGTTGCTTCAGATTATAATGCATTGGAATCTAGCGATTTTAATAACTATGTAATGAAAATGAAGTCACAATCATGCACAGAGCACCGAGTGTTGGGCTTTTCAAAAGGCTCACTACGTTTTTTACGTTTAAATATTGATGAACTCGAGCCATAAGGTCATTGCGTCGCATTTTGAAGAGTGCATCATGGAATGGTTAATTATTTTCTCAATATTTTTTCCACAATGAATTGCTATGAGAGTCGCTTTCTCTATTGGAAGTTTCAAGAAAACTGATGGTATCTCCCAGGACTGTTCATTAGAATGTGATTGGGTAAAAAGTGGACGTTGGACATTGCTGCTTGCTCCAAATGGTTAAGGTGCTTATACACCAAGCCTTTTGCCCATGTGACATCTGGAGCATGCATTGTGTCTCAGTTATTAACCAGAGGCCCCACACTGCTTGCTATTCCATGCATACCAAGAGGTCTTTTAATACACATTATGTGGATTATCTGTTTTTACTTCTTGTTCATTGTCTAATGACCAATCCTTTGCAGACATTTGAGAGGATTGTTTTAAAATAAGATTGTCCTCAATGAAAAGTCTGTACGCGGTTGTAAAATATGACCTTGCAGCTCTCTCCATCGCACCCCCCCCCCCCATGTCTTCGGTGCGCAAGCCTCTGCTCCTCAGCCACCCATTTCAAGCAGCGTCGCGTGTCCGAATGATTCCTCTTGCGAGAGGGTTTGTTTAGCGGCCACTTGCGGTACAGTTGAGCGCAAATGACTGACTTGGCATGCCACTTATACTGTGGATGTTACTGTGTAAATGTTATTCCAGCCTCGGAACTGTTAAGAGCCGTTCATGTTTGTGGCTGTCCCCCCCGCCGCCCGTCGGAAACGAAGGAGACCGTGCAAAGCAAAACCGGTTGAGCAGATACACAAACTACCTAAACACGCCGTGCATAACCCGACTGAGTTCTCAAACACAAGCGTGTTCAATAACGTGCCGTGCGTCAATAATGAATTACCAAACAAAGTGTGTTAATTATACATTCGCCTATTGTTTCAGAATTGCCTTGTGTCTGGTAATGTTTGAAAAAACAAAGAACTTCCGATGAAGGGTGTTAGTGTTACGGAGTTAATGTTATTTATGTCGTGATAGCAACTGTAAATAAGCCATCCGGATGGAACTGAAAAGGACTCTACAAGTCTCAGAGCATGTGTATAGAAACTTTTAAGTACAAGTACATAACGAGCAGCTACCAGATTAAGCCTAGCAGTGCCTTTTTAGAAAGATAAAAGTTGCTAGCTTGAGCAACATGATTTTGCTACTGTATTGTACATAATGCTCTTGGACAACTCCAATTAGCAGGGTTGGCTACGTACGGTGCGAAAGAAGTTCAACATACATTGGTAAATGCAGTAGGAAGCTTCCTTAAATTTGCATGAAGCGTTTGCACACTACTGTATACTAATCGGGCTATTTCGCAAGTGAATTGCTTGGTTAGTTTTGTTGTGGAGCAGGATATTCGGGACTTTAAAACAGGTCGTTGCATGTATGAGGGCATAATGTACAGGAATGTCATGTTTCCTTCATATTGAAGGACCCCACTCATTTTCATGAGTGTGGTGTGCACTACACGTCACGTAATAATAACTCGGTTTTAATGAGTGTATTCACATACAGGAGATGCAAGCGCAAAAGGAGGGTTTCATATTGCTGCGTTTATAGGAACGATGTTTTACTTTTTTAATTCTCAAAATATATTTGATTTCTCATCAGCAGAGTGCTTTGCAATCTTTATAAACATTTTAGGATTGGTTTGCTCTCCTGTATTAACTTGATGGTGTCTTGTGCTTGAAAATTATTCAGCAATATCGATATTGAATCACCAGTTGATGGTACGGGTGTGTGTGTGTGGTTTTGTTTTAGCTACTGCCAAAACAACCACCCTGGGATTATTTGGGAGTTGGCACAGTATTGTATAGGATATGTAAGGGAATGTTAGCAGTGGGGCAGTGACATTTGGCCTAAGAATTGTGTTGTCGCAAGACCTAATGTCCGTAACCTTAGCGAAATAAGCTTGAGAGGGGAAAAAAGCAGTGGTACTGCGTAGGCTTTAGAAAATTATATAAATATGCTTTTTTTATTAAGTGCAACAAAACGGTGGTGCAATTGAAATGTAATGCTCTATGGCGAAACTAAACTTGACGTAGTTTTAGAAGTTATCACACTGGCTTTTCCAGTTAAATTGGGTATTACATGCTTTTATAAGTTGGCATTGGTCACAAAAGCGAAGCTGGTATAACAGAACTGACTGGCGTTTGAAATAAATTATGTTTATCAAGCGCAGAGCCAAGTGAAGGTCCACCGAGTAAGTGCACATGCCAGAGAAATCTGCAATATTTCCTTTCTCGTGTTCTCTTGTGTAATCTAGATTTCAACTCAACTATTTAAAGCCTAACAAATGGGTGTTAAGTAAATTTAGTGCTGCGGAGCGCATTGGTAAATGGATACTTGGCTCTCGCAGTCCGTTTGGCGTGTGCGCCTTACTTGATGCCAAAAGTGGAAACTCATGTCGGTGTCGGGTTTGCATCATTTCGTATTTGAACACCCACTGCAACACCAGTGCAGATTAAGGTAATTTTGTACGGGGTGGGGTGGGGGGGCTCTTATAATGCTTTACCGGATCTCAATTCTAACCTGAGACTTTAAAAGTTGGCTCCATGAAATCGTGCCTATCACCCTGTGCCTTTTGGGTAGTCCCATCTTACATAGGCTGCCATATTACAGAAACCCAGAAAGTAATGTGTGGTTATTGGCTATTGTACTATACAACCACCTCTCAAATTTGTGCGTAACTTATAGGTTTTCATGAGTTGTCATTTTTGCCATCCTGTACCAGATTTTTTTTTATGTTTAACTGTGAAACTAGAGGGATGTAATGACTGTACACTGTGCAATAGGTTACTGATTGAGACTTTTATATTCACAAAAAGGATACTTCTGTTTGAATGTTTGTTTTTGGTTTAGCTTTCACAATAGGGTTTTCTGTGGCTGTGTTTACGTTTAATGGTTTGTTGTACAGTGATTTAAATAAAGGAAGGTGATGTTATCCTGTGCGCGTGTGTATTATGGGCTAATGAGACCTTACTTCATCGATTTAATATCTTCCATGCATTGACTTACGTGGGAATATGTTTAGGATTTTTTTCATCATTGATTCGTGGTGTCACGTGATCCCTCCAGCCACCAGAAGCCGCTCCACTTACCAGTGTTCCAATTGATTCTTTAAACCAATCGCAATGCTGAACTGTGACAATTCAATTAATTACGAGTATAACAAATCGTTACACTTCCTGCCTGTGTACAAGTCTGTAAATGACTTTAACCACAAGTTACATGAACAGTAGTTGCACGTTTTGTAACTCAATTGAACAAGGACATACTTAATGTCCCAAATGTATTTCAACTTACAGCTGAAAGTTACATAAACTGTAGTTGCATGTATAATTTTGCAAATCCAGACGCAGTGTAGCAATACTTGAACAAGAACATAACGTCCCAATTTCGACAACTTGCAGCTAGCTATGTGCCTGTTATACACAGGATTTGCATTCACTAGGATTTTATCACGAGTTGAATACACATTTCCCCTGTGCTTGTGGTTTTTTTAATGGTTTCATATTTTTTTTCATTAGTCTGGATATTATGTTTACAAGGAAGCACTATCCCACTAATGGTGCATGGATTTGGATGCTGCAAGCACAATTTCTTGACGGGTTTGACTGTGACATGAGAATACACTGACCTACTCTAACGTAGTTTGTAATAGGCTTTAGTTGGGGAAAGCCTAGGTTTTGAAAAATATACCACCGTTCGACCACACCAGCCTCCACTTATTCAGTGAGCCAAATCCATGGAACAGCAATGCATTATAGTAGGAGTACAATATAACCACGTATTTTACAAATAAGCGTTTAATTACGCATCATTTAACATTAATCATTATGCTCATGATAGATGCAGAAGATTCCTTGTGTGCTGATATGTTTTGTTACAATATATACATAGGTAAATTACATACTAATGTGGCATTGTTAAACCCTTCCAATACAATCCTGGATAAGTTTCATGATTGTACTCTGTCTTCAAGAGGCCCCATAAACGTTTTATTTTACGAGATAAGGTCCACGAAGCTATATAGCTCTTTTTCAGAAGTAACCTGGCTACAAATGTTAGCTCATCAACAAAGTTTCTTATCACATTAAAATGTATCGGAGCCAAATGCATGTTTCTAAATGTGGAGAGAAAAACCGCAGGACCTGGAGGAAAAAATCCACGCGACCACAGGGAGAAAACATGCAAGCTCCAAATATCCACGCATCGGGGTCAGAACAAACCCACGACCTCCTGTATAACAGGCGGAAGAAATGACACTTCGCCACCGTAACTCATCCCTGCCTAACCATCCTCATTCATCTCATTCTACCCCTCTCATCTTTCTGTCGAAGTCCGCAGTCAAACTTCGCTTGATGAGAGGTCACATTTCCCTCTGCTGGCCCCACAGTGTGGACCTACCTTCCCCCAACTATCGGTGTTGTTGCCTTCCTGTAGCTTTTCCCTACCTATGATTGACCACCTCTCTTAAAAAATAAATACTGTATGCCCATTACATGATAAAAATAAGTTAAAATACGACGAAGAAGAACGCGTGGATAAGGGAACAAACACAGAGGCGTCATTACCTTAAGAATATTTGGTGGTCACGGGAAGAAACACATCATGGCTCGAAAGGATGGTGGCTGATGGGACCATCGTGACGGAATTGCAGCCAACGCACAAGAATACATCGGAAAGAGGGGATGCAGGAGATGAATTGGTGGATCGTGGGACCGTTAGGGATTGCAATGGTGTGATTAGGCTTTTCATCCATCAGTGGATAGAGCAGGGGTCAGTAGCCAAAATAACAAAGTATTTTTTTTCGAACTCTAAAAAAAAATTCAAACCTCAATACAGTACAGTATATCGATCCTTAACGAATAACGTCACGAATCAGTCCTTTAAAGAGCTGCAGATTGCCGACCCCTGGACGATAGAACATGGCTGAGAATGATATGCGAACTACAGTATACACCTTAGTTACAATGACATCGTATTTTACTGTGGCTTGGTTCTGCCATCAAGGTGTGAGCTAAACGCAGTATGTGAAAATCTAAACTGTTGAATAACCGAGTTACGTGAACAATGCATGCAATAAATACATAGAGCCCTTTTGTCAATCCTTTTCTGGATTATGTATTTGAACATACTTCACCACAAATACACATATATTTGAACATACTTCACCACAAATAAGCACATGAATACATGTACTTCAGCAGTAATAGTCTGGGGCAAACAGCTTTTCAACCTCTTGTTCAACAATTTGAAGCAGAATGTTAAACCTAATTCCTTATGCCCACGTGAATTAATGAACGAATACATTAATTAAACATGCAAATAGATATCATCCAAACCCGTCTATAATTTTGCGAGGTTTTTTTTTCTATCAATAAAATTATTTTGGTAAATGTGCCAATTAGATTAAGCAAGTGGATAAATAAATAAAGTAGTGCGGTGCGAAATTAATTACGCGGGAGAATTAAGGAATTAATGAAATATCCGAACAATTAGACGAAATGACCGCATGAACAAAATAAGCGTGTGGAGTTTAACAACAAAAAACGCGAATAGATGCAGAAATAAGTGAACGAAACACACGTGAATGATTGCATATAAAGGGCGAAAAATATGAATGAAATAATAGTGTAAAAAAATTGTTCCTGGGTAGTAAGTGTTATTTCCTAATTGCTTATGCCTCAAAAGTACAGAAAATTGCTATTATTCACCACAAACTTTGCTTTTGACCAGGACAGTGAAAAAAATAAAATTTACCAATTTTCAATGAGAAAACGTGTGCATTTGTGTCATTCCTTCACATAAAGTCCTGATCACAAAAGCAAAGTTTGTGGGGAATAATAGCCATTTTCTATACTTTTTAGGCATAAGCAATTAAAATATAACAATTAATAATCCAGGGACAAAAATCGTGTTACAAAGTGTAATCACCACCACCACCCACCACCACGTCACCCTGAGTCACCCCCTCCCCCCCCATTGCCCTCTGCCGTTTGACTCCGCGTGACGTAAAGTTTAGCGCTAAAACGGTCCATGGACGTCTCTAAAACGCCAAAAAGCCTCCCTCTTGCCTTCTCGTGTTTATCGTTTATTACACTTAACATTTAGTCGAAAGTTCACGGATAAATAACACGAAACTGCCCGCGGCCGTGCGTTCTAGGCCAACTTTATCGTGAGCCCCGCGGCCGCGTTAGGCATCTTGTACGAGGCCCTCTGCTGCCTCCCACGTCAGCCCCCCGGGCTTGCCTGATTCTCCCGCCGCGCTTGGGGTCTCGGATCCCCGGGCCGAGCATGGAGCCGGCGGCCTGCAAAGGCCGACGTGGCGGTCGGGCGACCGCTGCTGTCGCTAAGGAAAATATCCCCGGCTGGGAGGATGACGGACGCGCTGATGTGGTAAATGCGTTTGTGTCATTGTCGTGTGAGCGATTGGTCGATTTCGCTGCTAGATGAATGGTTTCCTACGTTGTTTTGCCATACTTAACGCTGGTCAGTGCGTGTTGGTGGTAGCGAAAGGGTAGAGGAGGAGGTCACAATTTACCGGTTCAGATGTCAACTTGCCATCAGCACCACCGCTCCGCCCCTGCGTACTCGTGTTCTAATTTCTTAAATATCCAGTTCGTTTTAAAATGCCACGGGTCTTCATTATAGTTATTTAATAATAATTCACCGCGCTGGTCTGTGAGGGTAGGCGAAAATAAAATACATGAACCACTTGATACAGTAAATTTGGCTGTTACGGTCCCATCACCTGAAGACGGAGACTTGTGTTGCCTCCGAAACGTCGTGATTTCATTTAGTTATTTTCATTTATTATTATATTATTATTATTTTAACCTACGTGACGTTTCCGGAAAAAAACTAAGAGTATACATGAACCAGCTTTCGCCTCGTTCCTGCGATGTCTATGGGATGTTTATATTGCTGAGATAAGCTTTACTGATCTATTCTGTTGAGGACCTCTGTACGTTTTCATCTTAAGATAACCTTACCACTAACGCAGCATGTTTTTAGACAATGCATTCGTTTGTTATCGCTATACATCACTGAAACATCAAACATTGCATCGGTTATGATTGTCTCCATTAAATATCACCTATTACAAGTGCAGCATGTTTTACAGTCCTAATAGAGTTCACTTTTGGTAATGATTAGGGTATAAGACACATGGCACGAGAGTTGCATCTAATACTTGTGCAGGATTTTGTGAAGGAAGGATCAGCATTGAGGATCGAAGCGAATGGCCTTGCTGAGACCGGGCCTCCGCCCAGCTCTACACCAGACCTTGAATGCGACGATCAACCCAGCTCTGTACAATGTTTCACAACTTACCAGGTCGTGCGAATGAGAAGGAGTGAGTTGTGCAACCATCTGACTCGACTGTCACTTGACACCAGGTGTGTGCTGTTTATGTCATAATGATTTTCGCTTACCATTGTTTAATAACTACCATCACCTGCCCGCGTGTAATCCCACTCAAAGCGAATTGAAGAGTTCAGTGGAGTCATTGTTTTAATTTGCGAGCCATTTGCCTGAGATCATGATTATTTATACCGATGTCATCATACCTCAATTGCATCATTCCAAAAGTCTATATCAAATTTGGCAGATTTGTTTTCTTAAAATCCTGATGACGCATGGAATAGTGTTAAATTTTAGAGTTAAATCACTCAGTTTTCAAGAAACTATGAGTCTTTATTTAGGTAGTTTGCAAGCGTTGTTGGGGATTTTTTTTTTATATCCTGACTGCATACATTTTGGTTTAAAAGTTTATTTCCTATGTACATCCTTGATTCAGGATGTTTACCTCATTTGCTGTACTTTTTGTTTATCCCAAGTCTCCCTTGAAAAAAGCTCATTTTGGTTTCTGTGGGCTTTTAGCTGGTTATAAATACATGCATTTCTCTGCAGCGTAAAAGTTGGCTTCAAATGAAATCGCTAATGTGGCGTCTGTACTTTTGGCTTTGCTCCTGCGGTTCAATCCAGTGGGACCAAGGAAGTGCTACGGCAAAGGCTGAAGAGCTACTGTCAACTTGAGCACCGCAGGAAGAAGGGTTCCGAGGACCAGTCTGCATGCAGCAAGCGGCCTGCGATTGCCAGGGGCATACTACACGCGAGCGAATTGGAGCCGTGTGCCTTCAACTACATCTGTGTGGTCGACTTCGAGGCCACTTGCCAGGAGCACAATCCTCGGGACTTCCAGCATGAAATAATCGAGTTCCCTGTGGTTCTGCTTAATACCAGGACTCTGCAGATTGTACGTCCTTTTAATGATTGTTTTTGTATACATTTGCTCTTTTCACCCAGTTCATGTCTTGTCATGGTAGTCCTATGACTCATATCAGGTTAATGTGTCATTGCATTTGCCACAACTCTCCTACATTTATCTGTATTCTTAGCTGGCCTTATATAGGTTTCAGTAGAACAACCAATCCATTCTACACTTGTTGTCTGGTTATTCAGCAGTCTTATATTTCTCATAATTTGCCTTGCAGGATGGTGCTCATTAGTCATGCAGCTCAACTGATGTGTGGATACAAATTTAGTTTGATAGATTTCATGATCAGAAGTCGGCTTTGATGTTATCCAATTGTCATTCGTCTTATGTGGACGTAGTGACTTTCTGAAGAATCACAACTCCATTGCTAGGATTTTAATTTCATAGTTTCTGTTAACATCCAAGTCTCACATCTGTATAGGGACAATTATAAGACTAGTGTTCTTCTAATGTGTACCTTCGTGGATATTATGATGTCCATATGTTCCTAATCGTTTCCAAATTGGATAATACTAGAACTGCCCTCACACTTGAAGGATACATATCCGGAGAGAAGAGTGGGGGTGAGTCTTGACATCAGCATGTACCAACCCAGCTCAACACTGATGCAGGTGATGTCATCACGCAGATGTGCATGGTTACATCACTACCGTGTACATGCCTGCCCAAGCGCCAACCAGAAGTATAGTTATGATTCATAATCAACGTTTTTGGGTTAGATCGCGTTATTTATAAATGTGTCATAATCCTCCACCACCCGACACGGCCAATCATCAAAAAAGTGTCACGTTGACAAAAAGACAAACAGTTCACTACTTTAGCCCACCAGTGTGTTGAAGCGTGAAACCACAACATTTACATTTTTTGAGTACAGTACGGTACTCAAAAATAATATTAATATTGGTCGCGAAAGCCTACGTGTTGAACAGTATAGTTATGAGTATGATAAGATGGCTGTTGCCTTTGCGATGCTTCACTCCAGTGTTTCTAGAAATGTTCTGTAATTTGTAATGGCTTGTCCAAGGTAGGTATATAATTTCACTTGCATCGAATTGACCTCTGCAGATGTGAAGTCATTGATAATGAAATAGAGTTGCTCTCTCCACACAAAGGGGACACCATTTATATACTTTATAAACATTCGTCACCTGTCTATCACGTTTTTTTCATTCTTAGAGCTAGAATAAGAAAAAATAAATTGTTAAAATATATTTGTGTACAGTTATTAAATAACCAGGTTAAGATCAACTTGCTGCACTTGAAAACGGTTTCAAGTGTAGCAAGTGACTGAAATGTAGATTCACGCCCAGGATGTAGCAATGGTGGCTAATTGCCCCTGACCACAGAGCCAGCTAGCCACCTCAAGTCGCTGGTTATTTAGTCGGCAGTGTTTAGTAAAAGGTCGTGTGAGAAAGATTTCAATTATGGAAAATTATGCTTTCAGATGATGTTGTTAAGATCTGTTTTGTGCACTTTCTTAGGAGGATACATTTCAAGAGTACGTGAAGCCATTTCTGAATCCCACACTCTCAGAATTCTGCACTTCCCTTACGGGGATAACGCAGGTAAACTACAATCATCTAATTCAGTTATTTGCATCTGATGCATTTCTGTAATCATATTTCTTTTACGAAAATAAATCAGCATTGTATTATTTTACTACATTGTGAAATAAACATTCTGCACGCTTTGCAATTCTGTGGGTTTAAATAAATGTGAGGGTATCGTGTGTGTGTGTGTAACCTAGGAAACCGTGAACGCTGCTGACTATTTCCCTGAAGTAATCGACAGAGTTGTAAACTGGATGAGGCAGAAGGGTCTTGGAACAACCTACACTTACGCGATTCTTACCGATGGGTAAGGGCTGTTTGTGAGCTAAGCCAGACATACAGATGTTTACATTTATTTAAAAGACATACACAGCTCATGCGAAGTAATGTTTTACGTGCACAGAAAAAATGTGAGCCCGTTGTATTTTGTAAACCATAAATTATATTGTGGATTTGCTAATGATATCACTTCATGCATCATTGTGTTGTCAGGTCCTGGGATATGGCACGGTTTTTAAAAATCCAGTGCCAACTCAGCCAACTGCCATACCCACGCTTTGCAAAGAAGTGGATAAACGTTCGCAAAACCTTTAGCTACTTCTTTAAGGTGAGGGTCTAAATCATGTCTCACGTGCTTATATTTATACAACACAATTGCAACAGTCGTATCGGTTACTTAGTGGGTGGCACATGCACTAGGATTAAATTACGAGTCCTCTCGAGTTTTTCTGACCTTCACGTTTTAGCACGCCCAGGGGGAGTTTACTGTAGTTTTAAGCCAGAGGGTCAGGCGCCATGCATCAAAAGGATTTCAAACGACACTGACGCAAGATGCAGAAATAGACTTGGCCTTTGCAGGCTCCAGCCCGATCACTCAGAAATAATCTCTGTGGCCAAGTGCAGTGCTGCGTATCTCCACAGGAGTGATGATTTCAGCTCGTCAGCTGGCACTCGCTTCATCTCCAGCAGCTTAACCTTTATGTAGAGCATTTTCACGGCAGCTGTGATTTATTGAACACACAGGTTAATGGTGTGACCTGATTTTCTTTAGTTGACATCTCCATTGTGGATTTTGATTTGGTCTGTATTTGATGTAATTAATTTATTTTACAATTAGTTTTTTCACAGCATGGTAACGTGCTGCGTGAAGTTTTTATTATTATACAATAGTTGTGCTTTGTTAATTTAGAGCCCCCCCCCCCTCTACGCTTGTGCAGGTTGTGGGAGTTATGTGACCTGTGACAATACTTCACAGGCTGGTCAGTGCAGGTTGTTGTAGGCAGGGAGCATAGAAATACAATCCAATGTATTTTGCTGCACTGCCCTCTGCTGTCCGCAACATTTCCGCAGCCTCATTACAACCTCTTCTTGGTTCTTACGGTAAAGTCACATACGTGGTTCTTTCGGTAAAGTCACATACGTGACTTTACCGAAAGAACCAAGAAGATGAAACCCTGCTGTCACGAAAGCTTTAAATCATTACAACCTGTTTGTGCATGGCAGTCAAGTATCTTGGCTCAAAGCTGCTTGGCTTCTGAAACCTGATGGATCAGGCACAGTCCGAATTATTTGGTCATCAGTCCAAATGTTGACATGTGCTCCCTTTAAATGTATAACCTTACAATAGGTGCGTGTGTGTGTGTATTTTTCCATCATAGTGTATTGGAAAACAACTCGTAAGGGTGCACCAAAAGGTTATTAAGTATCGCGTTGTCATTCCAGAACCTGCCCGCTTTGGAATGCATATTTGCATTAGTGTAGTGTCTCACCGATGCCTTGTCTGCCATGCCAGACCTGCTGAAATAGGGCACGCCGCCGCATTGAAAGCTCCCTGACAGAGTGCATGTTTGGTCTCTGGAATAGCAGTGACCACCGCTCCAATTAGACGTGACATTAAGCAGGCACTAAATAATACATTTTACTCGCATGACATTTAAGGTTCATATTCTTGGTTCTTTCGGTAAAGTCACGTAGAAGGGAAATAATAAAAATAAAACATAATATTATGTTTTATATACAATATTCATTTCAATAAAACAATATGTTTTCATTTTATTATTTCCCTTCTATGTGACTTTACCGAAAGAACCAAGAATATGAATCCATGCAGTCACGAAAGCCTTAAATCGAAACATTTAAGGTTATTAAGTGGTAGCTGTATACGTTTCTCCATTTAAATTATTCCTGGTGGCGAAAGAATGTTTATTCAACAGTGATTCATAAAATAAAAAATTATCCGCAATCTACCGAGCGTTGTGAGACATCAGAAGGGTTAATCAGAAATGAAAGTTAACACCAACCCGCTTGAAAGTCACTGTGCCCCTGTTTATACAATATTCATTTCATGTTCACCATGCTACTATATTTAAAGTTCCTGCATGAAATGCAGTAACATTTCTACGACCTTAATTAATTTCATATCACTTTTGCAATACAGACATCAACATGGAACTTTTCCTGATAAAGGCTTTACCCTGAAATGCCCATTTCCCCATCAAGTTATTTCCAATAGAGAATTAATAAAAGTCTATTTTTAGCCTGTCAATAAACACTGCTTTGGTATCTAGATACTGTGTCTCTATGACCTTGGAAATAATTTCATCATTACCATGTGCTGGATGCTATAATTATCTCCATGTTATACACAAGTGCAACGAGAAGAGCCGCCTGTGTTTTATAGACAAGTGCATGCAGATGCTGGGTAATTCATGGAAGGATATGGTAAGCCGCTTTCCAATTTTGAGTAGAGAGTGGCCAAGAACACTTAGGTAAAACATTTAAAAGGAGGTTGTGATATGTGCACTGGATGGATGAGGGCAACTTACTCAACCAGGCATTGTAGTTACCACCCAAAGTTTGCCAAGCATACATATATATATAGTTCTATGCATATAGAACAGCTTTTTGAGTTTGTTGTCCTTCCCCCGCACCTCTGATGAGCACAGTTGGATACATACGGTATATAAGAAGGTCAACATACAACCATGTCGAAGGCTAACACTAGATGGTGTTGACTTTGCAAACCAATGTGATATATCGCAGAAGATAAAAATATGATGGCGAGTTATTGTAGCATCATATCCCGCCTTCACGATGGCTTGCAACGCTGCAATTCCTTGTTCATGACACTGCTGGCAGAAGGGCCTCCATGAGAACGAGCTCTAGCGATAGCTTTCTGAGGGTACGTGGTTTAGTCTTCTACACTGGCAAGATAGCTTAAAAGAGGTAAGAGTACCAGAACGCATACAAATGACCTTTAATTAAACTAAAGAATAAAAACACATTCTTCATCACTCCCATACGTCAGCTATGGTAAATACGGGGCATTGAGATACACCCCATTTTTACAGCATATTTGGAAAACACGCTTTGTGATTAGGCTAATGTTGATGGGTAATGCATGCCTACTTGCTGTCGTGAGAATTTTTTCCTGTACTTTTTAAAATATATTTGCTTGCTCAGTTATCACGGGAAAAAACGAAGCTCTCGCACATGCTGGAGTGCTTGGAGCTGCAGCCCGAGGGCCGAGCTCACAGCGGCCTGGATGACTCGCGGAACATCGCGCGGGTGGCGGGCAGCCTTCTCAGCCGGGGCTGCTGTCTGCGTCTCAACGAGAGCCTCTCACAGGGCCGCGTGACGGCCGTGCGCGCGGCGGAGGCCCTCGCCGCCACCCCCGTGCCCTACACGCCACAGCACAAGCACTCGCGCAACTCTCAGTCGCCCAGCCGTCTGAGAATCTAGCGGCGCCGTCATTCATTCCTTGTTGGGGAGAGGGAAAGTGAAACAGATGGTGCTAATGAATGTACGCTTTGACGCGAAAGTTCATGCGCTGAGTCATTGAACCATATGTCAAATGCGACTAGTTAATATAAATTGCATTGGTGTGGTGTGGTGTGCTGGACTTTGTGCTTTTTTCTTGTTCCATGTATGTATTGAAAATGTGTTTGTTTTGTATAATAGTAACATGCTATTTTTTAAGTTAAACTGCCATAATTTGATATATTTTGTAAATGTGGACTGTAAACATGTAAAATTGGGGTAAACAGTTGAACTCTGTGAATTGTACATTACAAACATGGTGAGTTGTTGCTGCATCGTAAAAACGATGCACCAGTTGTACAAATAACTGGTAAGCCACATTCAAATCAATGCTGAGCACTGAAATAACCAATTAATTAAAATTTGGAGATGTTTTTATACATTCTGTACCAACATTTTATTGGCACATAATTTGACTACTAGCAATAAATGAATCGTGACTAATAATATTTTAAACTGACAAAACAAATTATGAAAGTCATTTATAAAATTTAGCAAAAGCATCGGACCAAAATATTGGTATTCCTTTTCAATAAAATCAATTCGCAAGATGATCATTGTCATGCTCGTGCGTACACCGTCAACTCGGGCAAACGTTTTCTATTGGGCTTTATAAACACTGGGTGTTTCTGAATGCCGATAACCAGTGGCGGCTCCTGCAAAATCTCTCAGGGGGGGCAAATGTCTGGATGATTGATAAGGATAAGGTCCACCCATGCAAAGGATAAATTAACAGCTTAAGCATGTAAAGGCAACTTCACTTTAATATTCATGAAAAATAAAGTGACTCTTACAATACATCTTGTTTGTTTCTATACTCACTATTAATACAATCCACTCATGTTTCTTTTATTAAAGATTCCACTAGGTGGCGACAAATAATTTTGTTGGATGAAACGTGCTTACGTATGATGACGTAAGCACGTTAGTGCGAGCCCTCCCGGAAGCCATAGAGAATGCATTGCAGCGCCCCCCGTTCGAAAAAAAACATCTTTGAGTGTAAGTCTATGGGACCACTCGGGGCGATTCTCAGCCGGAGGGAAATCGCCCAAAAAGAGGCGGTACTCCACAGAACGTAGCATGACTCTGATTGGACTATATCCAGAGGCACAGTGACGGCTAGCGTGACTCTGTGGTTGAATGACATTGGTGGTGCGTCGCCCAATCGCCCTAATGAAGAAACCGCCCCTGCCGATAACAGTAATTGCGCTAAGTGTGAACACATTGTTGGATGATACTGCTTTGGCAGTGGTGCACATGCACACAAAATTACTTGTCAATAACAGCTCGATAAGAAAAAATACACGGCACGTTTCAAGATATGGCCCTTCGTAGTGCATTGATGGTCTATGAGGATGGACCATTGCCAGAAACGTTGCCTATTGTATATTTTCCCTTGTAAGGCAGTGTTATTGTCGAATGCAAAGTGAAAGGTCTGCGTGCATTTGTAACGGGACTCATTTGACGTGCGCACACGCAAATTAGACTTGACTGCACGTTGTTTTTGGCACGTGAAGGCATGTTGTGCGAGGGCAGACTCGGGAGTGTGTTAACGGTGCACTTCGGGCGGCGCTGGCATTTTAACACGGTGCACGACTGCCCGCTGCAGGAGACGGGTCGTAAAAATTAATGTTTCGAGCGGCCGTGGTGGGGGGGGGGGGGGTCAGCGACATTGTTATGCCAGAATTCTGAAGAGCCTCGTTTTTATTCTTGTCCGCTTGCATTCCACATGCTGGGGGCACCTGCGCCTGCTTGGAATTTTAAGGCGACGCCAAGAAGATTATGGCCAGTTCACGAGTGCCGCTCGTGGTGGTTGAGACTCGGTGGAGATGATGCCCCGACATCTCTGCCAAAATTGTGTTCATTCCATCGCGTTCGGTAGTACGGAGCGCTCGTTATCGGCCCTGGTTAGAGAGTTCAAGTTCATGTATTAGGTATAGCCCTGTGAGCCATTCGGCTCTTGAATCGGGTGCAACCGCAACAAAAAAAAACACGAACAAGAAAACATCTTAAAGTGACTGAGTGCAAACAGAAAATCCAAGAAAAGACAGCAAAATATTGCAGAAAAAGCACCGTACACCAACACTGCAAAAATCCCAGTGGGATGCAAGTCAAACAACAACAACCACAAGACAACTTAGATTAAGGCCATCAGTCTAACTCTGTACTACAACAAACAAACATGGCCAAACCAAAAAACTTTTCGAATATCACCAAAATAAAGCCACCTCACTGTTGTTGACACCGGGGTCACACAGTGAATTCAAGCTGCCGCTGCGCGTACAAATGCAAAGTATGCGTGCGATTGTCTGTATTCTTAAAGGAGATTGTGATGGTTCTGACACGTTTGCAGCACATTTTGCCAAGGTAGAGGTAGTACCCAGGGATTGGCAATTTGGATAAAGAACCAAAGCAGATGGTTAGAGACTCTGAGTGGACCTTGGAGGCTGGGTTTCAATTCTGTAACAGTGATTTTATCTAGCAGAAGGAAATACGTTATGGCATCGGTTGCATTGGCTGTGATATTTTTACCTTGTATATTTCAGCTGAATAGTCAAGCAGCTGAGTCGATTTCTTCCTGTTTCAAAGTTGACTCCTACAACTATCAATGAGTGATACTGCCTTGGCAATTATGCACATAAAACAAAACTATATACCATTCAATAATACTGCCTTAAAAGGAAAAAAACAGTATATTATTTGAGATTTTGGGCACATCTATTCAGAGACCCGGTCATTATTGCAGGGAAATCAATATGCAAAATCACTGGTGTTTAACTTGATCATGAAAATCACCATCGGCACCATTCACTCCTTTTAATTGTCATCCTCTAATCGTGTATGACAATGCTCGTCCAGGCTTGCACCAAATCGAATACACCGTTCTCGTGCACCTGTAGGGTATCGTCTGGGCCGTAGAGAGGTGGGTTTGGTGGAGGAGCAGATATGGGGGCAGATTGCATTGGGCTTCAGATCCGAATGGAACACAGAAAAGGCCGCGGGGGGAGGAGGGGTCTTGGAGAGGACCTCGGGGTGTCTCCGAGTCACCTTTGTTTTTGCAGACCGCGCCAGAATTAAATCTTGTCAACAAAACAATCCCAAAGCAATTGAGACGCGTCAAAGCATTTGGTTGAATCGAGTGTGAAACTCATTTTGTCCTGGATTTCGATTGGGAGAACATTTAAGGGGGAGCTGCCCGCGGCATTGGACGGCCGAGCGCCAGTGAAATCGCGTGTCCACCGAATGAAAAGGAGTGTCAAGAATTTGTGTGACGAATGTCACCGCATCCCGCACCACTTTCAGATGCACTTCTGTGGCCGTCTGGAACGCTCTCTCCCTTCCAATATTAGGAATTCGCTGGAGCTATGCACTTTTAAATCATCTAGATTGAAAACTCGTTCCTTTAGAACTGCCTTTTGTGTTAAGTTTGTCCTTCTCCTTTGCACCTATTGTAGAGTGGTTGCTTACGTATGGTGCGAAAGAAGTTCAACATATAGATACGAGGGGGCCTCGTGGCATTTTCCCCCAGGCCTCCAAAAATATTTCGACCGCTTTGGGTTTCTTAATAGCATTCTCCCTCTGCTGGCGATGAATGCTGTGCTCAGTAAATCGGCTTTTGATTTGTAACATCATAGCATGAACAAAAACAAGTGTGACACGGGGAGTGCCACACGGTGGCGTGCGTGAGAACAAATATGATGGGATGGAAGGGGCGCGCTGCAGTGCGTCGTGCGAAAGCACTATAAACCTCAGCCACCCGAGTTAGATTCCCATCGGTGGCGGGTCTTGTATCCCCCTCCCCGCATCCCCCTCCACAAACTCTCCCCATTCACTGACCAGCATGGTGAAGTATGGTAAGATAACTCCCATGACAGAAATAGTGTGGAGAGAGAGGCCTTTATCCAGCAGTGCATTTACAAAGAGCTGTCCTTTTTAAATCCTTTATATTAAGTTCACTTGCTTGCTTGCGCGCTTACGACCGTGCAAATCTTTCTGTCGTTTTTTTACCCACTTCCCGTGGTCCAATCGAGCTGACATTTTGCACACAGACTCGTTGTGCGTGACAATTAATTTTCGTGAAAAAAAATTTCGAAAATTTTACCCTTTTTAGGAAAAATAAATTATATGTAATTACCAATTGCTTAATGGTGGCAAGCAATCATCTGACCCATAGGTGGCAGCCATCTCAAGCCAGCGGACGAGAGGACTCTAGCCGCCACGCATATAAAGGATTTATAGTGAAAAACTTTGTTTTTACGGGTTAATTTTTTTATCACTGTAAATAGTAAGGCATTTTGGCATTTTTAAGGCGCTCTGCGAAGGCAGTAGGTTTTTTAAATAATTGCCAAAAGCAGTCAGTTAATGTATCACCTTCAAGTGAGGTTTATAATTAAGATTGGCTTTCTGCACATCTGAAATTGCAGTCACCTGTTAAAGGCGCAGACTGCAGTGACAGCATGTGGATAGTGCCTTTGATGCAACCATATTCCAGCCGTGAATCCCACACCTGTGAACCTACGGGTGGAATAAAACATGTGGTTAGCTGCATTGCCCGTGGTGCACAAGCACAAATACCAAAACAACTACAAATTCGTCAACAACACTGGCCTTGAAAGGACAAATATAGGAGTGACGTTTAGGGTAATGGCCCTTCTTCATGTGCTTTGAAAAAGGGCCATTACCCAAAACGTCACCTATTTCCATTTTAAGCAGAATAATTGACAAATGTGTTTTTTTGCTACGTGTAGAATACGTGCAAAAACAAGTGAATGCGTGCTTTGCCTGTTAATACATGGAGTGGTTGTGCCGAGCTGGGTGCATGTTCTTTATTTTCACGTGAAACCAAATAGTCTGCCAAGCACCTTTGCTTGCCAGCTGGTACCACTGCCTTTGCAAATGTCATCGACTCATTCTTGCCCTGTCCTTCCAAATGATACAATTGGGGTCCTGGGATGGAATGCACATTATACATTTACATGATTAATTTGGATGATTAGATGTGGTTAAACAGGCAAACTTTCAACTCGGATGGGCGTCTGCGGCCGTCTGGAATGTTCTTCCTTCCGATATTAGGAAGCCACTAGAGCTAAGCAATTAACAATTAAGATTGAAAACTCTTTTCTTGAGAACTGATTATTGTGTGTTTAGTTGTCCTTCCCCCGCACCTCCGATAAGCACGGTTAGTTACGTACGGTGCGATAGTAGTTCAACATACATCTCGCCTTATTTTATCCTCGTATTTTTTTTCACACGTTCATATGATTATAGGAATATAGGGTATGATATTGTAGGATTTTTTTTTATGAATGGGCATATATTGTACGCTCGTGGTAGTGCCTGCTCCCAGCCAGCCTAGCAGCGTTCCGGCACATTGCTGATGTAATTAACCTAACAAACACAAACAAATGGTGCATGCGTTAGAGGCGTTTCGGATGAATTTACGCATTCGTGACTTCCTTTCACATTACTACGGTGCTAAGACACTGACGCAAGCCTCGAGAGATTAAAGCACACAAACTGAGGAATGTACGCAATTTGCATCTGGGGGTGTCAAGAGGGAGAGGCTCGTCATTAATCTCGAGCTTGACCTACGCCTGGTCCCGTGCCTCAACTCTAATAAAAACTGAACTGCTGACCTAAAAAAAAATAAACACAAAGACAAAGATCCCCCGTATAGCCTTGGGGCAAGTGCTGTTCACAAGTACCTATGAAGGCCGGCATGGCACACGAGGGGGTAAGTGGCCAGCACTACGCACGGCTGCCTTTATCTCCCGAGTGGTGATGTTTACACATTTGAG